GCAAATGAAGTGCAGCAATGGGCTTATGCTCATGGAATTCACTGGTCTTACCATGTTCCCCATCATCCAGAAGCAGCTGGCTTGATAGAACGATGGAATGGCCTACTGAAATCACAATTACGGCACCAGCTAGGTGGCAGTACTTTGAAGGGTTGGGGCAATGTTCTCCACGAGGCTGTATATGCTCTAAACTAGCATCCAATATATGGTTCTGTTTCTCCAATAGCCAGGATTCACAGGTCCAGGAACCAAGGGGTGGAAACAGGAGTGGTACCACTCACTATAACCCCTAATGACCCACTCAAAAATTTTTTTGCTTCCTGTCCTTGCGACACTATGCTCTGTAGGTCTGGAGATCTTAGTCCCAAAAGGAGGAACACTCCCACCTGGAGACACCATACTGATTGCATTGAACTGGAAATTAAGAATGCCACCCAGCCATTTTGGCTTCCTCTTGCTGCTGGATCCACAGGCAAAGAAGGGCGTTAATGTACTATCAGGTGTGATAGATTCTGATTACCAAGGGGAAATTGGATTGACATTACATAATGGAGGTAAAGAAGAATATGTCTAGAATACAGATTCTTTGGGATGTCTCTTAGTACTACCATGCCCTGTGACTTAAGTCAATGGAAAATTATAGCAACGCTATTTCTAACATGACTACTAATGGCCCAGACCCTTCAGGAATGAAGGTCTGAGTCACCCCACCAGGCAAAGAACCACGACCAGCTGAGCTGCTTGCTGAGGACAAGGGAAATACAGACTGGGTGGTGGAAGAAGGTAGTTCTGAATATCAGCTACAACCATGTGACCAGTTACAGAAACGAGGACTGTGATTGTTTTATTTCTTCACTGTATATGTGCATCAAGTATTTTTGTTTCCTTCTGTTATGAACTGTGAAATGTAAGTAAGATTAATACATTTCATTTGTTCACATGTTAGCTTATCATGTTAGGCACAAATAAGACTTTATAATTGTCCTTATATAGAGATTATATACGGTTAAGAAGATGTGTACAACAGCCAAGTTGACAAGGGGTGGACTATGATAGTTGGAGCTGTGTGTCAACTTGGCTAAACCACAATTCTGTGTGGTTTAAACAACTGTGATGTGGGTTATTCCCATGATGGGATCAGATGTATGTATTTTGAGCAACTGATCCATTGAAAGGGAATTTCCATGGGGTTGTGGCCTGCTTCCAATATATTTACAGACATCCCAGGAAAAGACACTCTTCTACGGATCGGGATCCTGTTGTGGTGTCTACAACTGTCCATGAGCGAATAATTCACCATTCGGCTTGGAGATCTTGGATTTGTCATTCATTGGAGTCAACAGAAAGTATACTGCCTGTCAACCTTGACCTTGTCAGCCCCTGCAGCTGCGTGAGTTGGGAAGCCCCTCCAGCTTGACATGTGATCCAAGAACTTAGGACTTGCCAGCTTCAATAAGTGCGTGAGCCATTTTCCTAAGATAAATTTTTCTCTATATGTATATGTAAGCTTTACTGGTTTTGCTTCTCTAGAGAACCCAGCCTAATACAATAATTATCCCAAAATATCAACATTTCAATATATAATCAATATTAAAAATATTGCAAAACACCAGACTTACTGGTCTGATAAAGACTGGTAGAACCCCCAAGACTATGGTCCTTAGACCCCTTCAAACCTGGAACTGAAAACACTCCTGGGGATCACCTTTCAAGGCAAACAATAGACAGGCCTATAAAATTAACAATAACACCTGTGGGCAACATACTCCTCACAACAATAACCACACAAAACCAAGAACATGTGTCCAAAAACAAAGTTCAGAAGGCAAGAAGGGGCCAGAAAGAAGGACATAGGAAACAGGGAACCCAGGGAGGAAGTGGGAAGAGTGCCATTGAGGGGAGTACAACCATTATCATGAAACAAAATGTGTATAAATTGTTGAATGGGAAACAAATGTGCTCCATAAACTTCCACCCAAATCACAACAAAATGCTCAAGAACAAACAAACCATTATTAGGGTATTTTTGTGTTTTTTTAATACTGTGATCAAAATCTGATGTGATTTTGCAATTACAGCATAATTCAGTTCAGACTAGCCATGTTTCAAGTGTTCAAGTAGTCACTAGTGGCTACTGTATAAGACAATGCAGCTTCAGATGATTCCATCATTGTCTTAGATTCCTGCCCTAGGAATACTGGTATTGGAAAACACCCAACACCCAACACCCAACACTGGACAGATGAAATTGACAGCAGTTCATTAGGCACATATACTCATAGCTGAGGGGTAGAACATGGCCTGCCACATAGGACCAGATGGAGACTGTACTTGGAAACAGAGTGAAGAACCCAGGCTTTGGGAGACAGCCTTTATAGTGTCAAGAATGCAGCACGGTAACTCTTAGCTCCCGTAGGAAGATTATGTCTTACTTGTCTGAATACTCTATAGGGTGGCAGGGAACTGAAACTCGCCATTCATCTATTAGCTGGAGCTACACCTGCCCTCTGTAGTAAGAAAGACTGGCTAGGAGACCTTATCCAGTGGAGCAGAGCATTGAGGGGAACTTTGATTAGCCCATTTAAGGCCCTCTTAATTTTATTAGGTATCAAAGTAACACATAATATTGAGTATTTATTTTAGGCCTTACACCACAGCTTCCCCAAAGTCAAGTCACCTCCATCCTTGAGTTTTCCCAGTTGAGACCTCAGCCCTTCAGACACTGTGGAGTTAGAAAGTTGTTCCCACTGTGCCCTTTCTGAATTCTTCACCTACAAAATCAATGAGCATAGCAAATGGTAACAATAGTAACTGGGATACAAGCCTATAAATCTATAATTTATGTAAACATTTTCCTATCTAGGTGTTTTTCCTGCTTTTTTCCCAAATTTTTGCTATTATGAACAATGCTATACTGAACAATACTATCCCTACAGGTTAGCTTAAATATTTTTTGAGATAGTTTGAGAGCGGCAATTCTGGGTCAATGGAAACATACTTTTAGTACATTTAGATTCATACTGTCAAATTGTCATCCAGAGCAATGTGATTAGTTTTGACTAACAATCATGTATGTGTGCCCAACTGTGCTTCTTTTCTAAGTGTCTGGAGCTGAAGGCTTACTTCCTTTTCTATTTTATAAAAATTGCCTATTATTTTGTCTAAGACACTTGTCTGCTAACCAGACGGCTGGCGGTTCAAACCCACCAGCCACTCCTCGGAAGGAAGGTTGGGCAATCCTACTTGACTCGATGGCACATAACAACAACATTATTTTGTCTTAATTTCCTTTAAGTTTTAAACTGCATCTGTGACATACTTTCATTATAAAAGATTCAAGTACTACAATAAACTATATAGACAGGTTGTGTTGCTGCTGTTGTTATGTGCTGTCGAGTCGGACCTGACTCCATAGCAACCCCTCCTTGGGTTTCCAAGGCAGTATCACTACGGAAGTAGATTGCCCTATCTTCCTTCTGA